TCAATCGAGTATTGAGGAGTTAACAGATAACGAACAAAATGCGGCTGAATATCGCGCAAGCTTTGAAGCAGAATACTTTAGCGTTGTTGCACAAGCGGAGGCTTTACGTTTACGTAGTATAATAAACGTGCATACGGAGGCGTCGCGTTTGAGTGCTGAGATTAGCGGGGCTTCGTCCACACAGACTCCTGTCGTTCGGACAACGACTGGTTAGAGCGCGAGTAATTCTGGGACGGGTATTGCAACACCGTCAATCACATATAAACTTTCGGGTATCAGATTACCAACGACAGAGTTGCCGAAGTTTAAAGGTGCAATTTCACGCAGCGTCAAAACGACAGCGGCTCTACAGTGGCTGCGTTCAGCAGAACGTTTGTTTTGCAACTGTTGGAAGTTTCCTTCGCGCTGATTGGATCATACTTTTAGATCTAGAAGAATGGTCCTATCTCAACAGACAATCATAAAACGGTTGCAAAACTGTTGAGTCTGCTGAACGCAGCCAGTGAAAAGTAGACGTGTTTGAAAGTAATCGTGTTTTCGATCATTTAAAAAAATGGATTACGACAATAATAGCAGTTGGAACGATCAGGTTTGTATATAATATTATTATATATGTTATTAATATTAATTATTTAATTGATTGTTAAGATATTAAGATATTATTGAGATATTAAGTGTTAAAGTTCACGATTATTCAGGTTAGGAAATTCATACCGACTACATGTAGCGCTATTCTATTCCAAATAAATCATAACCCATGTGGACAGTGGAGTGTGTACAGACAGTAATGCTACTCCACTGTCCACATGGGTTATGATTTATTTGGAATAGAATAACGCTACATGTAGTCTGTATCACAGATTTCCTAACCTCCATAGTTGACAACTTTAACGCTTAATATCTCGGTTCGCGGGACAGGACTTTAATTTAAATCATAAAAATAAACATGATAATAAATAACAAACGTTTCGACGCCGATCGAGTCATTTTCATTATATTATGCTTTTTATAGCCAATGGAAATTGTGTATACGTGTGGGTTGTGCGAAATGATTTGCAATGCCGATGAAATTCGAAGCCACCCATGTTTAGATTCTTTCACACAATTTTATATGGACGAGCAGCATTATTTTTATCCACAGTGTGGTAAGTATTTTACAGTGGAATGCATACCATTGTTAAAAATGTAATACATGTGTTAATACTGTTAAGTTTTGTATGTGCAGACGATGGAAAAATTTTACGTAGAAGCCTGGTAGATGGCATTGAAAATAATGTTTTGGAGATGCCAAATAATGCAGAGGAAAGCACCGAGGAGACAGAAGTACCAAATGAGGAGGACTTTGATGTAGGAAATCTTCCAGAAAATGAAAATTTGCGGAAGATATTTATAGAAGAGCGTACATTGAGGCGATTCGAAGACGACCACCTCTCTGGAATTTTAAGCTTCCAGTTGTACAAAGGGGTGTTCGGAGTAAAGAGAAGTTGTGGCTAGATGTGGTCACAGTTATGAAAGGTACAATTTTTTTGAAGTAATATATGTATGTGTAGTAAACTTGATCACGCCGTTACCAAATCATTACCAAAACAAGTAACGAAAAAGTTGTAACAAGTAACGCATTACTTCCCAAATCTGATCATTATGTCTTAATGTACATTTTTGTTTCACAGATGTGATTACTGTAGCTGATGCCAAAAAGAAATGGAAGTCCCTCTCGGATACGTTTAGGAGGCACCGGAAAAATATGCAGTTGCCAAGTGGTTCAGCA